AGTGAGCAGCTCTCTTCTGCATGCCCTTTGGTCATGATGTTTCTGCCTCTGTTGTAGAATTTTAAGAGACAGGAAAGACCAATGGGAATGGACAATTTTATTTTAGGTGAACACTGGTTCAGTGGACTCCTGTCCAAAGGAAGAGCATTGATCAAAGAAAAGTTTCAGCTTTTATACATTTGATTGGGGGGGGGGGGCTGTTTCTAGTGATGTAGCAAGTGAGTTTACCAGAACAGGACAAAAGCAGACAGTTTTGTAATGTAGCCTTGTAAGACAGTGTCTCATGAATCATATGAGAACAGGGTGTCATAAACTTTGTTTACAGGACATTGCTATCAATTTTATCTGTACCAGAACAAGGAGTTATAGCTACAAGAGAGAAGGATGTGATCTGGAGCAGGAGGACTGCCAAAGGCTGGGAAGAACTTGTTTTTCTTTTAGTCTTCCTTCCTTTCCCCCCTTTGATTATTTTTATATCAAGTTTTATTAGAGAGCATCATTTTCATCATTATTATTATCAATATTTTTATCACAAGGGGGTGCTTAGTATAACCTACTGAGCAGAGGTTGCTACTTGGTTAAGGCCATCAGTCAAATGGTGGTGTGCTTGTCTATCAGAGTCTCTGTGACCAACTGAATGTTTTTGACAAGTAGGGGTAAGAGGCAAGGGAGAATTATAACAAAGAGGATAATAAACTTATGTTGTTGTTGTGACTCTAATTTGGCAGTGCATGGACTGGTCAGCTTCCAGAATGACCAGAGCAAGGCTGTTGTTTTTTCACACTTTTGTCATTTATAGATGAGTCAGCTTCTGGGGTGACTAGACCAGAGCTGTTGTTGTCAGTGACAGTCTCATCTTGTCACAGATCAGCTGGTTTGGGTCGTCTGGATCTATTTGTCTTGAGCTGTTGGCTTTAGAAGACTGTAGTAGATCTAAAACACAGTTCTGTAACTTTAACAGCAGTGGCAGTGGACAGGATTACAATATGAGGCCCATCCCATAAGTGCCCCAGAGTTGTTGATTTTTGGTTTTGGACTCAAAGTCTCTGAGCTTGAAGGGATGTAATGAGTCTGTTAGGCTTAAGGGTATTTTCTTTTGGATCCAGCTATGGATATATTCCAGGGTTATTTTTAAAGCCTGTATTTGTTTATTCAAGGTTAATTTTTCTAACTCACAGAAATCACTCTTAATTTGGCTTTTGATTGGTATTGGCCAACTGGACAAAATCTCATAAGGGGAATACCCAGTTTATTTAGTGGGGGTATACCGGACTCAGAGGACCATGGGCAGGACTTGATCCCATCTCAAGTGGGTTTCTTGACAATATTTTTAGCAGTTGTTTGATTGTGCAATTTATGTGATTTATCTTTTCTGAGCTCTGTAGATGGTAAGACATGAGAAGCTTTTATTTTATCTTTAAAATCTGTGTGAGTTTTTGGACTATCTCAGCTATGAATGTTGGTCTATTGTCTGACCCTAAGGTCGGGGGTAGTCTAAACCTTGGGATGATGTCTCTTGATACCACTTTGGTCACCTCTTGTGCCTTTTTTGAGTGTGGTAGCCCTTAACCCATCCTGAGAAGGTGCAGACAAGCCCCAAAATATATTGATAGCCATCAGCTCAAGCCAATTTAGTAAAGTCCATAACAAGTTTTTACATGGGTCAGCTCCTCTTTCCTGGATACTCAGGGCCGGGTTGGCCCTTGCCTTCCGTTGTTTTGGGCACAGGTTAGGCATTGGTCACAAACAGCCTGAGTGAAGGTGGTTAGCACATAGAAATATTGGCCTAGTAATGTTTGTAATGCTTTCTTTCTCATATGAGACCCCTGATGGAATTATTTTATAAACCTGGGATCCAGCATTTCAGGGATGGCTAGCCTCTCATCAGCAAACTTTTATTATCTCCCCTTTATATATTTTTAGCTTTCCAGGCAAATCAGGCTTTTTATCTGAGGAACAGCTTGGGGGTCTCTGGGAGAGAAGGCTGTAGGATGAGGGGCATGGCTAGGGCCCTTATTTTGGATTGGGGGCTGCCATATAGCAGCCTGTTTTGCTTCTCTGTCTGTTTTCCTTTTTTTTTTTTTTTTTTGGTATCCTCTGCAGAGTATAACAGCTACCTTCTTTGGGACCCACATTTTATCTTTGTATTTTTTTTTCTGAAGTTAAGAACATATATAGATATATCGATGTTGTAAAAGCATATATGTGGAGTCAGTATAGATGTTATCTTTCTTGTCCTTTGTTAGTAAAAGAGCCCTTGTCAAAACCATCAGTTTTGTTTTCCAGGCTGAGGTTCTGGTAGGCAGAGGCTGGGCCTCTATCACAGAGTCTATTATCACCACTGTATACTTGAATGGTCAGCTGTTGTCTCAAGGTTAGCTTGTTAGCTTTCTGAGGCAGCAGGGCAGTAGCAGCAATTGTCCTAAAGCACAGAGACCCTCTTAGGGCCATAGAGTCTAATTGTTTTGACAAGTATGTCACCGGATGATGTTAGGATCCCATGACCTGGGTTAAAACTCCTGTGGCCATTTCCTTTCCATTCATGGACATATAAGAACAAAGGCTTGGTAATATCTGGCAGTCCCAAGGCAGGGGCCTGAGTCAAGGCTTTTTGATTTAAGTGTTCTCTCCTGATCAGCTTCTCAAAGGAGTGACTCCTTTTTCCCTACCCTTGTGGCCTCATATAGGTCCTTAGCCATGAGAAATTTGGGATCTAGATGTGGCAGAATCCCGTTGTCTTCAGACACTTTTTATTTGGCGTCGGGTGGTTGGGGCTGGGAGGGCACAGACAGCTTGCTTTTGCTTGGCCTAATTGGTGTTCTCCCTGAGTCACTATGAAACCTAGGTATTTGACCTCTTGTCGGGAAATTTGTGGCTTTTCTAAAGCAAGTGAAGGAGGTTCTTGGTTTCCTGATAACAGTTCCCTCAGGTTGGGGCTGCCAGATGGAAAGTATTCTACATACTGCAGTAGGGCATAATTGTCTCCTGGTGTGATGAAAACTTCAAGGTTGGTAACTAGTGTCTCTCCAAAGATTGTAGGAGAGTTTTTCACCCCTTGAGGAAGCCAAGTCCAGGTTAGCTGTATCTTTGTGCCTGTGACAGGATTCTCCCTTTGAAATGTAAAGATGGGCTGGCTGACCAGCACAAAATGCAAACAGAAAAAGACATCTTTTAAATCTAAGCAAGTAAAATAGGCAGCACTTTTTGGAATAGTACCCATGTGTGTCTCTGGTTTATGTACTGGCAGGAGTCGGGTGTTCTAGGATGATTAGTACCTAGTCAAGATTTCATGTTTTAAGAGCCGCTTTAAATGTCTTTGAATGCCTTGGATGGCTTTCTGGGGAAAGGGGTATTGCAAACTCTAACTGAAGTTGTTCTTGGCTTTTATTATCATCTGTGTCTGATTTCAGTTAGCCTCCTAGTTTGTCTTTAGTTTATACCCTGAGAATCTCCGATGCCAGTCTATTTACCTCATTTATCTTTGGCTTTGGTGACTTATCTGAATTTAGTCTCTTTTTTTAGCCTCTGGTGGCTTCCTGTTGTTTTTGTTGTTGTTGTTGTTGTTGTTGTTGACACTGTTGGCCATCTTCTCTTGGCCGTCCATCCCAGTTATCACCCTATGTAATTGTTTTTCTGTCAGTTGTCCCCTTGGAGAGCCAAATTATTTCATAAAAAGTTTTTAACCTCTAGGCAATGTTTTACTCTATAGCCCCATATAGCCTCTTTAAAGTTTTTAACATATATTTTAAAGGGCAGGTTTTGATCCTTTTTTTAATATACCTACTCTGTTGCAACGCAAATAATTTTTTAAGCACTTTTGCTTTAGGAACACCCTGAGCTCTATCACTCTAACAAGCTACCATATATATTTTCTTTGATAAATCACTTTTGCAAACTCTCGCTCAACATACGTAAGCTTTCTAGTCTTGTTATTATCTCTTTTTATTTTTTAATAGGACAAAACTTTTATCATATAAAATTTTCTCATATCAAAAGCACATCTCTTGTATTTATAGCCCTATTAATATTTTTCTCTATTTTATTTATTATAAACTTTTTATAACAAATTTGGCTGTAGCTGCTTGGATTTTAAAGTGTCTCCCCCCTCCCCTTTTCTTGTTTTCAGATTGTTACATTTTAAATTTCCTGGCTGCCAACAGACTAAGTCACCTGGAGTCACTGTTCTTATTTTAAACAAAGAGCAAGTTAACCCTGTAATTGCAATTCAAGAATTTGCAATGCACAAGAAATGCTTTAAGTATAGCAATTAAACTCAAATTGGAAACCAATAGTACATTTATCAGTTAGTTAAAATTTGTAATTTGATTCTTCTTGTGAAACCTTATGCCCAGCAGGACTCAACTGTAGCTTTTTTATCTTTGGCCATCTAGCCCCAAACTGGGATTGTTTTGGCCTTAAATCTCCCAGAGCTGAGAGAAGGAGACCTTGGGGCCAGCCTGTGTTTCTTTCTTTTGCCCAGTGGAGCATGTGGTCTGCAGTAGGCATTGGGGGTCTAACCTGGCTCTGGTCCCTATGCTTGCATCTCTGGCAGACCCAGCCCCCACCCATCTTTGTGGTTCCATTTATTGGCCCTGGCTTAGCACCTCTCACTGTCTTGCTCTGTGCTCTCTGGGGCTTTTCCAGATGTTTTTATTCTGTTTATTTACATGCACTAATGTACTTCTTTATTCCCAGTTTTTTTCAACTTGGTTCTGGGTTTTTATCAGATTCCCTCTGAGTCTGATTACTCAATAGTCCTGGGTGTGGGTTTGGTCTGAGTTTGACTACCTAGCACACCCTTTTTGTGAGCCATTGTCACAATGGGCCACACCCACATTCCACTTGAAGTTGTTGTGAATCAATTCTCATTGCAGGCCATTCCTGCTTGGGGTGCCATTTTAGTCTAATGTAATCTGAGTTAGATTACTCGGTATACTCCAAGAAGTGATCAGGCACCCCTGCCACCCTGCCAAGTTTTCTCCTGGGCCCCAAAACTTTACCATGGTCCTGTAGCATGCTGTTGTTTCAGACTGATTCTGAATCCCAACAAGTTCCATTGTGCTGGCAAAGAGGAGCTTCTGGGCTTCAGGAGGGCTGATTCCTTCTCTGAGCTGAAGTCTCACCTGGTGGCACCAGAGATCTCAAGATTCCCATAGCTTGAGCCCCTCTCACACCTACAGGCAAAGGAGAAAGCAACTCTGTCATGTCCAGGCCCTTTGTGGTGACCAGAAATGTAGAATTCTAAGAGACAGGAGAGAAAAATGGGAATCAGGAGGATTTAATTTAGGTGAACATTGGGCTCAACAGACTTCTGTCCAAAGGAAAGGCTTTGAACAAAGAAAAGTTTCAGCTTTTAAATATTTGATCAAAGGGAGAGTGGTCTTTCTACTAACATAGCTGGGGAGTTTACCAAAACAGGACAAGGACAAACAGTTTTATAATTTAGTCTTATAAAAAGACAGTGTCTTATGAATCATATGAGAACAGGGTGTCATAAACTTTGTTTACAAGACATAGTTATCAACTTATCAATTATCTATACCAAAATAGAGTTACAGCTACAAAAAAAAAAAGAGAAAAATAATCCAAAGGAGAAAAAACTGCCCAAGGCTAAAAAAAATACTTGTTTTTCTTCAAATCTTGCTTCACCTCATCTTGGATTTAGAAAAATATTTTTTGCATGAGAATTAACTTTGGCCCCTGCTGTCAGTCCCTCCTGTCTTAGCCCTCTCTTACCTCTTTCAAAAAACATAGTTAGGATGAGATGAGAATATTTGGAATGACATTAGATATGTTCCTTAAACTCTCTGAACCTCAGGTCTCTCTTCATAAGATAGAGATAACATTAGTGCCTAACTCATAGAGCACCCTGGAAAGATTAAATGAGTTGGTGAGGATAAAGGGCCTCACATAGTTTCTAACATGATAAATGCTTAACAACTGCTACATTCAGAGACGAGTATTTGTACTGTTTGATGCATTAGTTATAATCCATGATTAGCTTTTAACATGATCAATACTTAACTTTTTAACTTCTAGAAAACAAGAACTATCAAGAGAACATTTTCTAGGGCACAATGTTGGTTGCTTACATAACAACTCACACTATACAGTTTTTTTGTCAAACTGTAAATTAGACTCCCTTTTGAGATGTAACAAGTTTGGGAGGTTATTACGTTCCTAAGTTTCCTGGGAAACATGTAATTCTGAATGATCACTGCTAAGTTTGTGTGATAACTAACCTGGGTGGTATAGAGTCAGGTGTATATACATATGTATGCCTGAGTCAGGCATGGATAGCCTTAGTTGCAACCTTTTTAATAGAATAAACGTAATAGTTGCTCCAGGCTTCCCTCTGCTTTATGAATGCAAACATGGATCAATTATTTACTGCAAAATTGAGTAGCAGATAAGGAGGGAATAGCTCATTTCAGTGAATCTAAATGACGTTCCAATTTATTAAACCAAAATTGAAAAAAAGCAATATATAAATAAATCCACATTTACCATCTCCACTTGATTTTGGAAGTAACATATCAGTGCTACAATGAAGTTTCCTAGAATCAGTGACTACCAGTTCTAACGCTGCACAAAGGTGAGAGAGACTATACATAAGAATAGGAATGGCCATTGATTTTGTGTATCACACTTCTGTGCAATAAGAAACTGTCATTTTTGCCCTAAAGAAACTGTCAAATCTGTTTCCCTCTTTGGATCCAGTTGACTAGTACAACCTCTCAAAGTCATTTTTCACATCCCCCAGATAATAGTTGTGGATATATTTGATCACTCCTTGTGAAAAATATCTTTTTTTCCCCCTTAGTTGGCTAACTAGATGAACTGTACAACAGGTGGGAAGATCAGAGGCTGTTCATACTCAAGGAAGCAGACTGGGGCTGAACTATCCTTCTTCTTTCAATGTATTTCAGAAAGGAGGAGAGGAATCTCAGGCCAAAACAAAATGTTAAAGCCCAACTATTAAGGAATATTAGACAGAAACATTGTCTTAAGCTCTTACTATTCCTAAGTCATGGACCTATCATCTGCTATCTATGAACCTACTACCTTTTACTCATTCAGTTATTTATGCTTTGAGTATTAGATACTGTCAGAAGTCCTGAAGATACTATGGTGATCAAGAAAAGACATGAGAAATCTACAATCTAGAGAGAAAACAAGAAGATATAATGAAATACAACTAAATTAGAATACTTCTGAGAATGCTAGTGATATGTGATGGAAAATTAAAAATACACTAATGGGCTACTGAGTACCTGTGAATCAAGAAATGCTATTTTATAGAGGCTGTCAAGGAAGACTCCTCCAAGGAGATGACATTCAAACTGAAACTTGGGGGTGGGGGATGTGACTCAATGGTAGAGCACTTCACTAGCATATGTGGGGCCCTGAATTCTATCCCAGTGTGCGTGCATGTGTGTGTGTGTGTGTGTGTGTGTGTGTGTGTGTGTGTTGGGGGGGGGATCCATCTTCAGGAATATCAGGGGGAAGAATATTCCAGAACATCAGCAACCTACAGTCAGAGTGTATCTCTGCCCTCACGCCTCTTTTGCTCTCCTATGTGTTCTTCTGGCATGGATTTTATCAAGGAAGTAGTTCTCTCTGTATAATCTCTAGGGACTGTTATAAAATTCTTTCCTTTTTCTTCAAGTTCTATGATTTCTCAATCTTTAACACTGTTTATTTGGATAAATAAATGCCGAGGCCATCACACACACATTGGCATGAACACACAGGAAAAAAAAAATGACTTGAGTTAGAAAAGACAGGAAAGGCAGCAGTCCCTAATGATCCTGCTGACCCAGGGCATGGTTTTCACATCTTCACTTCTACCAATCCCTGCATATCAATGATAATTCTCTGTTTAAAGGTAACTGAATATCTGTTAATTAGTTTCCAACAATGGATTAGGCAAGCCCCTCAGGTGACAAAATTCACTGTGTGAAGCAAGACTTAGACCAGATTAGCCAATTATCTGGCAGGCACCATGCATTTCCTACTTTACAATAGACATCACTAATCCATCCTGATATGTTGATTCACATAGTTTAAAAGCCAAACTCATAAAACAATTGAATAGATATACTGAGTTTCTAAAGCTATTTCCACCTTTAAGGGTCATTGAGAAAATACCCTTGAAGGAGACATTGGGACTGTAGCCCTTTCCTGTCCCTTTGCTTCCTGGCTGCCTTAAGGCAGGCAGCCACCACATGTCCCTCACCATGATGTTCTGCCTTGCCACAGGCCCAAAGACAACAGAGCCAACTGAATGAAACCTTTGAAACCGTAAGCCAAAATAAACCTCTCCTCCTTTCAAGTTGATTTTCTCATTTTGTTACAGTAACAGAAAGCTGATGAACACATGTACAAATATACATTTTCTTCATGAACTGTTTATAAGCAGCTTTCAGATAATATGACACTAATATACCTAAATACTTACAAATGTATCTTCTAACAACTGTAACTTACAAAAATCTCAATGCTATTTCACATCCAATGCTTTTAATATTGATGCAGTAATATTAAATAGAAAGTTAAAAAGTGATTTAAAAATTATAAATAGTGTACATTTCCATAAACATCTTTATACATATAGTTTTGGCTTTTTTATTTTAACATTCTGAATGTCATTTTCCTAGTAATGTACTAAATTTCAGATTTACTATTTTAATTTTAAAATATTTTCTTAAACAAAAACCACTGAAGTTCAGTTATTTTAATTTTAATTTGATTATAAGAAGTTGGTAAATAAACAAATTAATATTCAAATAGAAGAAGAAAAAGGAACTTCCAATCACCTCAAAGTTTGAAGGTTAAGAATGACATATTAGGTCATTCAAAGCCAACTTTTGAGTGTGAGCTGCCTACTTTCACACATGGTAGAAGGATATGTATGAGATGGGACTTCCATATTCAAGCTTTACCCCCATGTCCAGTCTAGCCACAGGGAGGAGGAATCTGGCTTATTAGATTGCAAGCTCCTGGAAGACAGGGATGTATCATTCTCCTTCCGTATCCCCAACAACCCATGTTTAAAACATGGTAGACATTTGGTATGTTAATGAAGCTTTTTCAAACTTCTCTTATCTATACTAGATCCCAAACTCTATAGTCCATAGCCAGGATCCCAAAATACACAACTATTTTTTTCCCCTTAACTAATTAGCAATAATGTTATTTTATTTTTGTTGAATAGTGGCAAGTATAGTATGAAGGTTTTAAATACATTTTACTTTGGTAGGTGAAGGGAAGGTGTTTGGGGCAGTAGTGCTGGCAATGGTTAACCCTTCATTGTTCAAATAGATCGTGCCTCGCTATAGTCTGTTGTTTTCCCTCTGTATGCTTTAATCAATGTCTTGATAATGAAAGCAGACTAGATAGAGTAGATATAAAATCAGTTTTATCTTCAGGCATTTTTATTGAAAAATAAAGATGATTACTAATTTAGAGGGTTGCTCATTTATTATTATTATTGGATTTTTTTTTTTTAGAAACTTGTGTTCTATTTTCCATCAACCTTGTTTCCATTTTGCTTAAGTGTCTGCAGAACAAACAGCTCAAGACCACTTAGTGGTGGTTCCTACTTGCTCAGTGGCCTGAGCAGTGGGGGCTGCAGACCATTCTTCTGTGGCCAGTTGAGCACTCCAGTCTTCTGTAAGGAACTGCTGCATGGGCACAGAGGGCACCTACACACCCTCAGACCAGTCTGCAACCTTCGGCTGGGTGGCAGTGAACTCTGGAGCTGGTGAAGTCCATTCAGCCTGGAATTCCCCCTTGGTCACAGCCTTTTCAGTAGTAGCATCCTCTTCCTTTTCAATCTCTTCAGGATCCTAACTAAGAAAAGCCCGGGTCCTGATGCCTTCACTGATGAATTCTACAAGACATTTAGAGAGGAACTACTGCCACTACTATTTAAACTCTTCAATGAAATTGAAAGGGAGGCAATACTCCCAAATTCATTCCTTCCTCTGGTGGCCTTCTGTAGAAACTTCAAGCCCACCAGACTGCAGGAGTGCCCTTCCAACTCTCTGTCCATCAAGACGGCACACTCCAACTGCACTTCACCGAAGATTCCATAGGCATCTTGTACCAGAAGACAGTCTCAAGTTCCTGGTTGGTCTGCATACCCTGAGCCACTCCCCTGCTGGCCTCT